GAGAGAGAGAGAGAGAGAGAGAGAGAGAGAGAGAGAAGAGAGAGAGGAGAGAGAGAGAAGGAGAGAGAGAAGAGAAGAGAGAGAGAGAAGAGAGAGAGAGAGAGAGAAGAGGAGGCACACAACAAAAAGAGAAAATACGAAAAATTAATTCGTTCTCCATCCGACCAGCGGCGACTTTCCCGGGTTGACAAGCGCACTCCACGCCATCGGCCCATCCATTCTCAACTCCTGTCAACTCCTCGCTGGTAAACCGCCGTCGAACACCGTGTCCGCCACCTCCCGCTCGTCACCGCCAGCGGAACAGCCATCTGTCATCGCCCGTTTGCCGTCCGTCGCCGGTTCTCTCGTCACATCAGGGGCGAACGAATTCCGTCATCCACGCCGCATGGATACATCCACATGCATATACACCACAATACATACATGCATAATACATATGCATACATAATACATACATACATTATATATATATATAATTATATATATATATATATATATATATATATATATATATATATATATATATATATATATATATATATATATATATATATATTATATATATATATATATATATATATATATATATATATATATATATATATATATATATATTATAATATACAGAGATAGATACGTTGATACATACAGAACAGATACAAAATATGCACAGACATGCGCATACCCCCGCCCTCACAACACACAAACACTCCCCAACCCACCAACCTATACCCTATAACACACTTCCCACATACTAACACATCGTATGCCTAACCCCCAACCGCAACCCACAAACCCCCCACCTCACCACTACCACCTACCCACATCCAGCCCCCCATTCTCCATCTTCTACCTTATTATCACCCACACCCACAGAAACGCATACATACATACAAGCATACACACACACATACACAAACACAGAGGCCTCCCCTTAAACCTCCCCACCTCCGAACAAACTCCCTCCCCACTTCCTCTTCTCTTCCTACCTCCACTCACATACCCCCCCCACCTCCACCCAACTACCCTTTCCCTCAACCTCCCCTACCTTCCCTCCCTCCCCCTTACCCTTCTCCCAACACCCCCCCCACAACCCTTCCCCTCCCCCTCCACCTTAAACCTCCCCTACCCCTTCCTCCCACTCCCCCTTCCCCCCTCCCAACTCCCCCCTCCCCTTCCCCTTCCCTCCTCCCAACCTCCACCAAACCAACCTCCCCCCCCCCCCGCACACAAGCCGACGTACCTGAGCTGTCACACAATTAGATCACACGCGAGAGATGTAACAGGACTAAGCGCCGGGTACAAACATCACCATCACCATCATCATCATCACCTCGAAAGCGTACTCTCATCACCTCTGGAGTCAGAAGGGAGGGAGTGAGTGAGTGATGTCAAAGCGGTGTCAACTGTTAGTGTTATACGCTTTTGTGTTATATTTTGTTATATTTTTGCGTGCGGTATTTATGTCGCTATCAATATTTTCATTATTATTATGATCATTATTTCACACTTTTTAGTAATTGTCCATTTTCCTTAAATAGTCATTACCATTAATACTTCCATGTCCCTATCTCAATCATTGCATCATAATCACCATCATCATCAACTTTATCGCTGTCCTTTGTTATTACCAATATCATCGATACCTTTAACTTAACGAACTTATAATTATCAGCTTCTCCATCGCCACTGTCATTATCACAATCGACCTTATCATCTCCATTCGAAATCATCACCCCCCCCCAAAAAAAAAAAGAAGAAAACACTAAAAACAAATAAGTAAGCAAGCATAAAATAAATAAATAAATAAATAAGAGAATATTCAAAATCATCACACAGAATAAAAAAAAAGAAAACACCAAATACGAATAAGTAGACAAGGGTAAAAAAAATGAAAGAGAAAACGATAACACACTACAAAAAAAAACGTTACAATACCAAAAACATAACTAAAAAAAAGACACCGAACCCTCATTCGTCAGTGAGAGTTGAAGGACAGAAGAGGCCTCTCAAACTAGGCCTAAACCTTGCCCTTGATCCTCCACACCCCACCCCCTCACGCCTCCTTGCCTCCCCCTTTTTTCCTCTTTCTCTTTCTCCTCTCCCTTCTCTTTCTCTTTCTCCTCTCCCTCCTCCTCCTCTTTTTTCTTCTAATCCTATTTTTATTCGCCTCCCTTCTTCCACCTACTACACCCAGCTGTGTTGCCCCCTCTCTCCTCTCTCTCCTCTTCTCTCTAACTAGCTATGTAACTCTTTCTCCTCCCCTCTTCCCTCTCCCCCTTTCTCCTTCCCTTGTATTCCTTCTCACCCCCTTCCTTTCTCCCTCCCTCTTCCCTCCCTTCCCCTTCTTCCCTTCCCTTCTTCCCTCTTCCCTCCTCCACCTCCCCCTTCTTCTTCCTTCCTTTCCTCCGCCTCCCTCTCTCCTCCTCTCTTCCCTCCATCTCCTCCCCTATCTCCCTCCTTCTCCTTCCCTTCCTCCCCTTCTCTTCTCCTCTACCTC